TAAATAAAATAAACCTTTTAATATTAAAAACTATCTCTTCTCACATAAAATTTTTTATTTTACCCGCTAATACAATTCCATGATTCCATGTACAAAATAGGCACTCTTTATAAAAATCCATGTCATTTCTTTGTAAAGAAAAAAGAAAATCATAAAATAACAAAGAAAACCATTGTGAGATAGGTCCAAACCTGTTTGTTAAAGAGAATGAGCCCAGCGAAGAAGCCCAACCAAAGCCTCTTAAGGACCGAAGGAATTCAATTAACAGCCAAAATTTGCCATAAACAAAACAATATTCTTGGGAAAACAAGTACACCAAGAAAGATGTTGAAAAAATGTAAAAGAACAGGTGAAGGTTCCCCCCTTGATTTTCACGAACTCCACCAATGAATCCATTTCTCTTCCAATGTACATCCTTACACACACAAAATATACCAATCACTGTTTAGCTGGTTAACCCATCAGACGAGAAGGTTCATGACTTGGATTCAACCCCAGTTACTGTTTCCCTCACCCTTAAAGAAGAAAATCTTAAGAAAATCTAATTGCCTGTGAAGGAAATGTAAAATTAACCATGATCCATAAACCCAGAAATTGGGAATGCCATTAAAGACTTCCGATTCGTCAAGTTTCTTTAGTTATGTATTCATCCGACTCTTGAGTTTGCTTTCTTTTTGAGAAATTTAAATTAGTTGATTGCAGCAAAGGCTAATTATCACAATAAGTTGATGGGGGAGATCCTATCCTAAGATGAACGCAGGAAGATTTATCCGGTGGTCTAGGAGCTGTCCAAATTGATATCAAGGTAAGTTTGTTTATAAGTATTATGCATTTTTTTTAATTGGTAACTTTTTTTAATGAAAAAGTGTAGTGCAGTTTAGATTATACTGAATTGTACTACATTAATTATTAGGTAAGGAATGAACTTTCTCATATTGAAAGTTTTTTTCTCATACAATGATTTTTATTTTACAATTCAGTATAATTCAGATTATAAAATAAAGCTTTTTTTTAATAAAAAATTGAGATTGAAGAAAATCAAAACATCTTAACAATTAAAATGTTAGGATTGATAATGAAAAGACTAAGATATCCTTAATAAATCAACACACAAAAGAGATTTGTCAAAAATATTAAATAATTTCATAAAAAATCTTAAATTTTAAATTCCAAAACATCCTAATTTCATTTTACTTTAAAAAAATATATTTTGTTTTTATTTAAAGATGCAACAACTTTCTGACCAATATTTCAAGAATTACTCAGTTGAGTTTTTTGATTACTCAGAGGTTGATAGCCAAGTGAATTGGGACACTTGGACCTTAAAGATGCAATAATATACCCTTGGCTCACAAGTGAGATAGGGGTCTTAATTCTATTCTATATTTAAACTTGGAATTTCTATCAATAATATAGTCTATGTTTTTGTTGAAAATAAAAACTGCTTAGTATTATAAAAATAAAAAAGTATTTTACATTTTGGACTAATTTAAACTATAAAATAAAATTTCTGTTATAAAAATTTGAACATTAATATTAATTTTACTTAAAACTTTTAAATTAATAAGTAACAGTAACTTGGAGCTGTTATTATACTTTAACACAAAAGACAAACGCGTTCCAGTTGGAGCCAACGGAATTGCAGGTTGGTGGAAGATAGGAATGTGATAGCAGCTTGTATATCACGCCATAAAAAAAAAAAAAAATACTAAGAATACTACACTTAATGTTTCTAAAAAATAAGAAGATAAAACCAATTATTAGATGGGTTTGGAAAGAGACATGAATTGAATCCCAATGTATCTAGTGGTCACTTCTGAAAACTAAAAAATTAAGTGAAATGATTACGAATGCAGAGTAGAAGAAGAGCTCTATCTCAGGAAGAGCGTAGAAAGCAATTTGAGAACTCTTCTTCCTCTTGGAACTAAACTAAGCAATTTGGAAAATTTTTATAAGAATATGGATTAGTTTGATTGATTAGACTAATTTAATTTTAATCACTCTTAAATAGAAATGGCAAAAATTGACAACTTACGTATTGTTTATACCAGAAATTGTATTTTTTAAGTGATGCCATGTGTTAATGGATAAGGTGAGATTAAATTCACTGAAGAAATGCGTATTTATAAAATTGGTTAGCAGGATAAAAGTTATCTAGTTTGTTACAGTTTGAATTTAAAAAAAACAACAATCCCTAGAATATGAAAGGAGGTTATTTGTGATCTTATCAGCCAAAAGATAGCCCGCAAGATGCATATAAATAGAAGCTTTTTGATTTTTTCAGACACGGCCAGCCTTACAAAAAAACTCATTAATTTTTCAATTTTTTAGTTTCATAGTGATTGCTCATCTTAGCTTTTATATTTCAATATTAGCACAGATTTCAATAGATTTAAGTTGTTTTCAACATTCAAGTACCCAAATTAGTTTGTATAATTGCTTTTTTGATTTCCTTTCAGGCAATAAACATCAAGTGTACTTTAATTTTCATTTCATTCAGTTCATTTTGGATCTATTAACTTAAATTCACGATAGTGGTAAAGTCCTTGAGATTGTCCAAAGCAGATTAGCAACCCATTTTACAGGAAGGCATCCCTTCTTTTTGTAAATCGTCTGAAGGGCGCAAAACTCAATCTTAAACCAATGTTCTTCCAACCATCCTAACAAAGGTCGATCACTTGGAAGGAGAAGGTTATTGGGAGAATCTTTTTTTTTTTTACTTTTCAGAAAAGTAAGTGGCACACTTGTATCTAAATTCCACACGTACGAAGCCACTTGAGGATTTTTTAAGAAACACATATTTAAAACAAATCATGATAATAATTTTCATCTAATAACATATTTTAACTTAAATTACTTGACATGTGAATTAAATAAGTTGAGATTGACATTAACTTAGGCTTTATTTGGAGACATTTCCCGGTGGTTTAGTGCTTTTAATTTTTTAAAATCTTCTTACAACCTTAAAAATATGTAATATATTAATTAAAATAAATATTAATATATTTTATATATTTTTAAAATAAGAGGAAAAA